AAGGACGCGGGTCCTATAAGATGCACGTGTTTGTTATGACCCAATGACCACATAAAAGGTGACGAAATGGCGTGAGAATGACCATAAACAACGAATAGCTGTCCGACTGGCCAGTGAAGGACGGGTTTGTAATACGTTAATCGTCAACACACAGGAATACCAATGAGCTTATTTCCTATTACACTTAACATTATTTTATGATTAGATTTAATCAAACTTATCATGCATTGTAACCCTTTAAGTTTCCGATTTGTGTCTCACAGTTGAATAGTTTAATGACAGTTTTTTTTTTCTCACAGGAATTCGTTCAAGAATAAATTCTTACAAAGCTATATACTTTACTTTTAAAAAAGCATACATCTTTCAAAAAAAAGTTTCTATTATCTGAAAGAAAAGTCTACCTCAAGAAAAGAAAACATTTATCGCACAGTTAATCCTCTAAAGTCAATTAAAAATCGTAGTGACCGTATTTAAGCTGATACCAAAAGAATGAGGGGAAACACTTGATAAGGACAGAAGATATTTAAATATATGATCCTTGTAGTGTAGTATTTGTGTTTATCCTTTAAGTCAGATAACACCTTATTTATTCACATTGTTTACCTAGCTCTAATTATGTTCCCCAAACGAAGTTTGGGAACATATTGTTTTTACTTTTTCTGAATTTTTTCTTTGTTCTCCGGTACTTTTTTGTCCGCGAGTGTTCTCGTAAACTACTCATCCGATCTAGGTGAAACCTTTTTAGGGTCACTAGGTACGTTATGTAGATGTGCGGAACGAAGGTCATTTTGCGCGCACGTGCGTGCATGTGCGCGCACGTGTAACACGTGAAATGACCAATATAATAGATTTAGCCGTAACTTTTTAAATATTGGATGAAATGCTTTGAAACTCATAATATAAGGATATAATAGTAGTATAGACATGATGACATGGTCAAAATAGCAAGATCTCACGCGCATGCAGGTGCCCCTCGCTGCGATTGACTGAAACTAAACGTCTAAATATCTATTTTGTTTTCTGAAAAAATCCTTTGAAATTTTGAACATAGTCTTACATTATGAAGATCTACAGCATGATATATAAGAATAATCATGAACGCACGCACATGCACGTGTGCTGCAATCTGATTGGCTAAAACTTTAAATGCCTACAACTTTCTTGGTTCTCAATAATACAGGGTGAAATTTCAAATATGAATAGATATAATGATTGCCTACATTATACTACTATCAAAAGTAAATGCATGGACGTGCATGCACATGCGACCGCACACAATGTATTAAAAGACAGTATACTTCAGTGTTTGATGTTCATGCAGAATTAAGAACTTCTAAATGTCAAGACATGTAACATACTGAAGCATGCAGAGCTTTTTACCCTTGACCTTGAAACTTAGGTCAAGGTCACTGGTAACCTGAATAAAATGTTGTTATTAGCTATTTACCAAAATCACCTTGACCTATGAACTTGAAATCGACCTTAACCTTTGTCCTTGGCCCAAGGGTAAAAAGAAACATGAAGTACATGTACATGTATCTAGAAACACCTTTCAGAGTTTATTTCGGTTGACAGGTTAGAAGTTAAAGAGGTGGTGGTTTTTAATGACCTTGACCTTTCATCCAAATGTCACAATCAATCTTAAGTTCTTGGAATAAGATACAAGATTCAACTCCAACGTTAAATAGGGTAAGAATAAATATACCCCCCCCCCACCCCCACCCCACACACACAAACAAATCAAATTAATGGCAACGTAGAGAATCACTGTTAAACTCAAATAACACCTCGGACCCACATAAAATTTCAGGAAAACTGCAGAAAAGAGCTCGAGGAAAGTGTATTAAAATATTTCATTTGAGTTTCCAAAGTATATAGAAATTATTAATTTATACAGAAAAGATTACAAATCCTGTCGTGTTTAAAATTAAAGTGCAGATGACCAAAGTTGGCATATAAGCCTTTTATAGCCTATTTATTCAGATGTCGTTAATAGCATTCAATTCTACTGATTTGAAATAATATTTGAATACCAAGCATCCTTTGTTTAATTTTCCTTTAAAATTTATTTGAATTTTTTTAGAATTACGCAATCCCCAGAAATAGCGATTTTCGGTATATTAAAAATCAATATACATGTACGCTCCTTCGTAAAATAATCAGATATTTGCATTCATGAAAAAAATATTAATAAGAAGGTGTTAAACAATATAGGTCACATTAGCTGACACGAATGTCTTTTTAAACATCTCTTGTAAAACCCAGAGTAGCCCCTTATGCATTGGAAAAAATGAATAGTTCCGGTCAAAAAACCATTATATATTTATTTACAAAGTATATAAAATTTACCAGGCACAGGTATCAGAGTTGTCAAAATGGCCTGAGAGGAAATATTAAAAAAATTCTGAACAGAAAGGAAAATCCCTTTTCCATGTATGTATAACTACTATTGAATAAGTTCATTTTGATTGGTTAGGTATTGGCGTGATACCCTTAGTCGACTTTAACCCTGCCTTGTCGTCGGAATAAAACCAACTTTGAGCCCTGGGTTAAAATAAGTAGAGAAATAAAATGTGAATCGATATATTAAAAATATGACATATGCTTGAAAAATGGTAAATTTCTATATGTATTTTTTTCTTTGATTCGCGGGATAGAAAGATATGTTAATCGCTTAATCAACATGCCATAATCATCTTGCATATGCATGTACATGTACGTGTGCGCGCATGCAAAACGTTAAACAATATATCCTTGATAGTTGAAATCATTGTAACTTTTATGTTCTTAAATGAAATCCTGGGATACTTAGCATGTTTATAAAAGGTCTTAGAGGAATAAGGCACGATAAGGGACATGGGGAGCGTTTGGGGAACATCTGTAACGGTCCCCGTTACAATTAGCACTAGTTTAATTATTGACATAACACGCGCCGTGACATATAATGGCGGTTATGGTCCAACCTTTCAACACGTGCGAATGTCACGGTGTCCACTGGTCCATGACCAATGGCTAGTACTGGGATATACTGGTCAGCTTGTTGTCGTGTTAAGCCTAATTTGTAATCAAAAGTATATTAATTATATCCAATAAACCAATTTATCAAAGTATATTTTCCACAGGTACACGTGGACAGGAACACCCCCAGCCCCTCCCATAATTTTTAAACCGTGTTCTGTTGAACATTTCTTCACAAACTATTTTATTTCAATATTTTATTTTGTATACCAAAGGAAAATCGGAATGAACGCAAAATATCCATTTTAATAAAAAAAAAAAATGTCACACGTAACGTTAAAAAATATCTTTTTGACCTCATGGCCTTGACCTTGGAGATTGACCCACCTTTACCAAGAATTCCCAAACTTTAACCTTAACCATAACTCATGATTAGTTGGTACTAAGGCTTTTATATTTCATATGTGTATTCACTGTGACAGGATCTTCAATGGGTCAAAAAAAAAGACTTGACCTCTCACCTTGAACTTAGAGTATGACTCAGTTTTAAAAACTTTTGAACTGTTTGAATAAGGGCTTTCATATTTTACAGATGTATTCCTTGTGACAAGTCCTTTTCTTGGATACCAACAGTTTTGACCCTTTGACCTTGACCTTGGAGTTTGACTTGCAATTGAAAACTTTAACTTTAACCCTTGCGTTTCGTTGGCATCAGTGTTTCAACATCTTGTTTTTAAAAATAGTTTTCTTTTCGGTGTTAGCAATCATATGGTTTAATCCGCCCCGTTTAAACTATGTCTTTTTTAGAAAAAAATTGGCTTACGATACCCCCCCCCCCTTCCCCTCCGCGCACACCCATTAAAGCATGAATTACAAGAAATATATCAAATTTCACATTAAAAAATCAAAGCACTTAAATGTGTTTTAGTAAAATACACACAGAACTGGCAAAATTACAGAAATATGTTTTAAATATACATAAATGCCTCAGTATCAAAGGTGAATACAAACTGTGAAAATGAGGAGGAGGGGGGATCTTAGTTGTTGATGAATTCGGCACGTATCAACAAAATTTATCAGTTTAAGGTGAACGACCCACGGACCGTCATTAGGTTTGAGTTTTATCATGTTTTATCGCATTTCCCGCTCGTCACATGCAATTATTGTAATGCAATACGACTATTAAGATATAGTGCAATGTTAATGATAGCTGAATTGTATTTAGATGTATATTTTTTCAGTAAATTGTATTGATTAGTTAACATACCTATATCATTGATAAATTACATGTTCTATTTATCTTTTTCTTTCTTGAAATTAAAAAAAAATTGTATTAGCGCAAAACTTAATAGTCATGAAATTTAGAATATCACGGTAATGCATTTTTTGTATGTGACAATGAATATAAATCAATAAAAGGTAAAATATAGTTTTATTAAGATGAAAAAAAATAGTCCTATTAATTTCAAACAAAGTAAACATCTATGGAAAGGTTGCGGAGCGGAGATTTATAAACATATATACACAATATTGATAGGACCTGTAAATAAAAAGATAAAAGTACACACAATAATATAAACATCGACAAGTCGTTAAAAACACATCAGAAAAACGGCATGTACCGTTATCGGCAATACCTCCTCATCAATCATAGCGTTAAGTTAGAGAATCTCTCTCTCTCTCTCTCTCTCTCTCTCTCTCTCTCTCCGACCCGCTCTTTCTCTTAATCTCTTGTTTTCTCTCTTTCTCTGTAATTCTCTTTCTCTCTGACATCAACAAAATTACTTTCTCTCTCTCCGATCCATCCATTCTTTCTCTTTAACTCTCTCCCTCAATCTATTTCGGGTCCTTTCTCTTTCTAACTCGAGCTCTTCTCTTACTCTCTGGACCTTTTCTTACTCTTTTACTCTCCCTCTGTCTCTAGATAGATCTCTGTTACTGTCTCCCTTTCTTTCTGACACAAACACACAACTCTCTCCGACCTGCTATTTCTCTTACCCCCACCCCCTCTCTCTTATACAGAGAGTAACTAAACCACTCACCAACATGTAGGCTCTGATTGTGTTTTTCGGCTGCTATCAGTCCTATACATTCCAGCTCCTTCCTCGTCAGGGCTTCTTGTTGGTCCTCGCTATGGAATAAAGTACCAACCTCCTGGAAAAATTTAGAGTTTGAAAGATTTCTCATTGTTTTCAGGAGCATTTACGACAAGGATTTCACTGAAAGGTATTTTGAACTGTGCCCAAAGTATTTCCACTCGATGGGGTGATTAGTGAAAAAGAACAAATGTCGTATACTTAGATACTTCTGATGTTCAAGTGTTTCTGCACAACACGCGTCACAAATATATTCTACTTTGGAAAAAAGCATGCATATTCTTTCAGAGAATTGCCGGCACTCATATTTTCTATTTTTGATGATTATAAGAAACTGGCTAATTAATAGGAGAAAAACACCAGATCACTGTATCTGTGTCAACCACTTATTAACAATAAGAACTATTTATTTCCACACTGAGAGAGCACTTGACGAAAATCCTTGTAATACCCCCATCAACTGCAACAATATACACGAGGCAAAAAGCGATATCCCCTAAATGGAATTCTCCTCTTCTTTAATTTCCGTTTAAAGCATTCCAAAGTTAAAAAAAAAATAAAGAGAATTTAAAAATCAAGATTTAAACCAAACAAACATGACAATATTTCCTCTTCGGAAAGTCGACGCTTCCACACAAAAACGTAAAGCTACGATGTATTTGAATGAAATAAATCCACCACGCATGTAGGGCGTAAGGGCGCAGCAATACTGTCGACCGATTCACGCATACTACACTATACAAGAAAACCCCACAGTATTAACTGTTTATGTGTCATATAATCTTAAGACGTGGCTTTATATCAAATCACAACAAAACCTAAACAAGATAATGCGGTCTAAATAAACTGTTATTTTACGCTATCAACATCTTAAAGCGAATGTAAATCACTCTTTTTTTTATTTTCAAAAAAATTAATACTTTAAAAATAAGGGTTTTCCCCCTTTTTTCACGTTTCCCCTTTTATAAATCACGACAGTCCTTTATATCCTTTATATTGTCAAGGATGAAAATTAGCATTATGCTGAAAATTATAGCATCAACTTATAAAACTCCCTATATCAGATTTTTGTTTATATTTAACACACAATTTGACTTTTGAGTATTACATAACACGAACCTTGATAATATCTGTTTACCTCTAAGTTTCATTTTTTTTATTTGTTTAAATAGAATTGAGTTACAAATCCTATATCCCACTCTTTCATAATCTCTCTCTCTCTCTCTCTCTGACGTCACACGCTTGATGAAGTTTATGATAAAATATTGTCCTGATCCCTGGTCCGTTAACTTCCTGTCAGCTATAAATGATTAATCCCTCTCTCATTAGCTGACCACTTCTCTAGACAATATACACACTAAAACAGCCATTAATATAACGGGGTCTTAAAGTCTCAGGGAGGCGGATCTAAAAATGATCAGATTATAAATTATTGTGTCACATCCCCCCAAAAGTTCCGGGTTACTTCAATGGGCTATGATTCGATAATTCCCTTCAAAGGAAAATGGGAGGAGGTGTTTTGTACTTCTAAACTTATGAAAATTCTTTTCCTCCATCACAATTAATGGGAGCTATAAAGTCGTATTTCCAACACATTAATTTCATTAAAGAAAACTTCACCTTTGCTTTTACTATCATTTTCATAAAAAATACAATTTTTAATACAGTGGTGCATGATAAAGTGCAATGTTAATATGTAGTATGTGAAAGTCCATATTAACAAAAATACGGTAATACACATGAATTAACATAACAACTATAATTTGTATACAGGCATGTTACATGTGTATGTCGTGCGTTCACTAATCAGGCATGCTGTTACATACTGAATATGACGATATATGTGTTGAAGAAAAAAGGAGAATAATATTTTAATTATACCCTTCTCCCGAAATACAGAAATTTTGGAATGTATTGTAAAATTTTGTTTTTAAATGACATCGCCTGAGATTTATTAAACTTAATACTTTTTTGGGATGAGAAGACGCTCATTTCAAAGTATTCATTACGATCTTTAATAAATAATAACGGAACTGTATGATAAATTGACAAAAATTGTATGTGACATCTCTTGATGTTCGTCGTTCACAATTCTAGTCGGTGATCGATCAAACAGCATGGTTTGTTTACAACTCTGTTTCCATGGTTATCGTGTTAGACATTCCTGTAATCAACCAATGACCTTAACGTGAACTAAGCAGTATGAACTATGCAGGGGGGGAAAAATGAAAATATTTTATATAGAGTTGAAATATGTTCACTAAAATAAGGAAAATTCTAATATGGAATTAAAACTCTTCACTTAGCACTGTATTCCCTCCATGAGAATACGAGTATATAATTTTTTATATATTTTTTTTGTCAAGGAATTTTTGGAAGTTGATATTGCCCCAAATAAAAATATATGACTGGGCCCCCTCCCCCCAAAAACTGAAATTACTTCATACGAGTCTGAATTATAACCTACTGAAAATTAAGAAGAAACTGAAAAAAATATACCTCCCTGCCCACCCTCTTACACAAAGTTTCATTTCATGTCAGCAACATTGAATGTTGACCAAAACTGCCTTAAAGTTTATATTCAATTTTCCAATTAAACATACATTTTTTTCTTCTTAACTAACGAAAGAAAAATTGAAATTCCAGAATCTTTTTTAATTCTAACAATTGGCACCATGGCATTTTTCTCAGAGATCCAGTTCGAAATAAGAGAACCCCAAAAATACTTTAATAGTGAAGAAATTTCTTCTATGTAGAACGTCGAACCACGCTAATGGAGTACTGATATCTCCTATCTTCTGTTTTAGGGCAGTGTCCTCCATTAAAAAAAATTGTCAGGGTTAAAATGTCGACGCACTTTATATTCTCTTTAAAACTTTTTATTTTAGAGAAAGTGCCAAGAAAATTCATTTTAGAGAGAGAGAGAACCCCATTGCTTGAAATATATTAAAATAATCTTTCAGATTAAATGTCATATATTGTCTTATATACATGTTTTTATTGCATAATTATTCCTCTGTGTTTGGAGATAAAAATAGCCCATAAAACCCATTTATCGACGTTTTAGTCACACTTGTTAGTTTTATCACGAGATAATGTACGTTCAATGGAGTCACTAATCAACAATTTTCATGCTTTAAAAGTTATAGAAATTCAAAGACAGAAAGGAATAAATCAATTCAGCGTAAAGGGGTAGTGCCCCTCACAAAGCAACTCATGTCCTATCACTTCACCAATATCGATATCATTGACTTCCCTTCAAAGTTTTAACGGTCCTTCGGATGAGACCGTATAAACGGAGGTCCCGTGTAGCAGTAGGTGCTGGCACGAAAAAGATCCCTCACTGCTCAATGGCCCTAAGTGCCGAGTATAGAACAAATTTTGTAGCTCTCCACCGGCAAGTGGTGGCGTCTCTATATGAGTGAAAAATTCTCGAGAGGGACGTTAAACAACATATAATCAATCAATCAAAGTTTTAACGATTGGGAGGTTACATAGTCTGTATTGTTAATTTCTTACTTCTCCGAATTGTTGATATTGCAAAATCGACAACTTTGATACCATATCGTATAAACATTGTATAGACAATGCAATATTGACTCGAAGTCGACCTGATATTGTCCAACATCCGCGATGTCGACGATGTAAGGATAACACATAACAAAATTGATAGCTTCTGGGATGGTTCTTTTGTTTGTTCTTTTGTTTGTTTGTCGTTTAATGTCCCTCTCGAGAATTATTCACTCATATTGAGATGCCATGATCTCTAAATTGCCGGTGGAAACTGCAAATTTTGTGCTATGCTAGGCACTCAGGGTAATTGAGCAGTGGGGGATCTTTTTTTAATTTTGCCAGCACCTACTGCGACACGGGACCTCGGTTCCGATTGATATCTTGTTGTTTAACGTCCCTTTCGAGAATTTTCTTCTAATGTGGAGGCGCAACCATTTGCCGATGAAAACTGTACATTTTGTCCTATATTCGGCAATCAGAGCCATTGAGCAGGGAGGGATCTTTTTGGAGCCAGTACCTACTGCAACACAGGAACTCGGTTTATGTGGTCTCATCCGAAGGACCGGTGTCCACGTCCCACAGTGGAATTCGAACCCGCGACGTAAAGATAAGATACTTTTTGCATGACTCTAAAGCAGATACTCTACTGCACCACGCGGGCGACTCTCGGTTCCGAGGGACAGACGGAGAATGATTTCAAAGTTAAATGAATCATTGTAATAAGACTACCGAGGTGCATTTCTGAGAACTTTTTAATAAAAAATTAACCTATTTACGGAAATTATTGAGTTTGATATAATCGGAAAGATCAGAAAAATATACACATGAAATGCCCCTCGCTACAAACTCAGTTTTAAGTTCATAATTATAATTGTCTTTATTGTGAAAAAAAATTGGAAGATGCTCTACAGTTATCAATATCGTTATCATAACCGAGAACGTGTTTACTGCTCTTAACTTGTAAATTTTAAATTTTGTCAAAAATAAAACGCCCAAATAAATATTAAAGCATGAAATGATGCTCATTTAACGTGTAGTTTACTTCAGCTAAGGTTCTGGTGATGTAAAACAGAACGATTTAAAAGTAAATTTATGTCAGACACGTTATTTCCCGATTACAAGGCATTCGCCACCCAAAGCAGTTACATTAGTTAGAGGAAATTGCATAAATTTTCATTTCACCTTTTTGCTATCAGAAATCACATGTTTCTTATAGGATATATAATAAGGAAATGCTGCATGATGATCGTGTGCTTACACGATAACCTATACCCTGGCACGAAAATGGCCTCGTAGCATTAACCATTAATAAATTCAGATAACAGGTATGGGAGATTAATATTTTACGTAACTCCTAAAAATGAACAAGAGGCCAAAGGGCCATATTACACACCCTATATATATTTAACCCCGGCCTTACTTCTAAAAACATGACCAATAAACATTTAACATACACTACCATAGGATGCTTCTATAAGCATATATATGGCTAATCATACTTAAATATGCAATTCTTCAAAGAAAGCTACATTATACATTTTCCTATGAATTATCTATATCTATTGTGGCCTAATCTTAACGCTAGTTTTCAAGATTTCAGCAAATCTGAATCTACACCTTCGTAGAATGCTTCTGCATAACTAAATAAAATAACGTACATGTAAATCATAACGTAAATGGCTTTGCTGTTCTTGAGAAGAGGAGTATCAAAACTTTTCATATATTTCCTTAAAAAAACTTTTCATATATACAAGAATTCAAGAAAGTACTAAAAACCCAGGCGCGGATTCATAAATTTTTTCCAGGGGGGGGGGGGGGTCCACCCCAGTCAAAAAAAACATCCAATCCCAGAAATTTCTTAACAAGCAAAAAAAAAAAAAAAAACCTCCCGCCCAAACGTCAAAAATCTATTTCTTGGGGGGGGGGGGGGGGGGGGGTAGTGGTGACTTCTATTGCCTCAAATCTTTCTTTTTACATACCCATTTCACACATATTCGCATTTACCAGGGGGTCAGCGTTTTCCAGGGGGGGGGGTCCATGGTAACTTTTTTCTTGTTTTAGTATGTACTTTTTTTAACCTGGTAAATTCCAGGGGGGTCCTGACCCCCCCCCCCCCCCACCCATCCCCGACCCCCTCTAGATCCGCGCATGAAACCCATACCAGTGTATAAATCAGGTATAATTGGAATTACTTTTAGTTTTCAATTTAGGAAATAAAGGTTAATTAAAAACATTTTAGGCAAAAATTGTAATGTATATATGTATGGGGCTGTGAAGTAAATACATTTTTACTATGAATGATAAAGCTACACCTGTTTTAAGATTTGTTTATTGTT